TAGTTTGAACTACCATAGTACGATGCATCGTTAATGCTAACTTCCGTCGTTGTTCGAGAAACGCACCCCAGCATGATTTTCTCGTATATCAGGGTTTCCCTGCTCTGACAGCTTATTCAGCTCAACAGCTAATTACCAGGCTTATTAGATGTATTTCAGCAGGGAAATCTGTGAACTGTGTTACAGACCTGCCCTGCACTTCCGGAATTAGGGCACTCTGTCATATATAATAACTCAATACATTACCAGGTAACCTGCTGATGACGCGGTCATCTTTGAACATTTGGCCAAATCAATAAACAGGGAATCCAGGTTCAGAGTGATATCGGTTGTTTCTGGGGCCGCACTCCATAAGTGCCGCCTTCCGAATGTAGTGACTAAATGTGGGCAATGTGGGGGGGGGGGGGGGGGGGGGGGGGGGTGGCGCATGCAAGGGCATTGTTTGACAGCATGCCAATGGCATAAAAAGTCTTATGAAAATCTTATTTTTATTGTAATAATCAGATTTCTTTATTGATTTTCAAACTACATGAAAAGTAATTCACTGAATAATACTTCTGCGAATATATTTTATATTTTGGAGGTTCTTCCAGGCAGCACAGGACAGAAGGCCAGAGGTGGCAGACACGCCAGTCCGTTGTAGGGCACACGCACAGCACACAGAACCTCTTTGGCCAATTTTGAGACACTACTTGCCTGACTTCTTATCTCTGAAAGAGATTAAAACAGCATAAATTATCAATGTTGATACAAGGTATTCCCTTTCCATTTATCAGTGGGCATAAACACTGTATGGTTAATATTTATTTACTTAAATTTTTTATGTGTTCTCTTCTGGAGTGAGCATAGTTGTCCAGTGGTAGCTGCCTTCCTGCAGCTCTCACTCTCTGTGTGTGTTTGTGTGTGTGTGTAGTTTGCATGTCCTACACATGTCTTTGTCACTCTCTTCCAGATACTCCACTTTTCTTCCACAATCCAAAGACATATATTTAGGTGAACTGGTATCTCAGAATTGCCATCTGTGTGTAACCTACCATGAACTGGATCCCAGGGATCCCAGTCTATCACAATATGTTAAATTCGATTCCAGTAACAATGCAGCTGTCAAAACTTGTAACTGGTTTGGCAGGAATTCATGGAATTTAAAGAGAATAAACTATTGGAAGCTTTATATGTTTAATTGTGCATGCTTACTGGTCTTTTTTACTGCTACAGGTACAGATGTTGTTCAACAATGAGTGTTTACCGGATCATATGACTATGAAACAGCTCTGGCTCTCACGCTGGTTTGGAAAGGTACTGTATGTGAAGGAATGTGTTATGCATTGTGATAGCATTGGCAAGGTTTACACTCAGCTTTTGTTAAATATGTTACATATTTTGTAGGAGAAAGCTCTCTCAACCATCTATTGGCCAATGTTAGCACAGTTGTATACATTTTATCATTATATCTCTGTTTGTATGGCTGTGTTAAAGTGTTTATAGTTACATATTAAACATAATGTTAGTACCATTCTCAATATGGTGGGAAATCAGAAATGAGGTATGGAAAGATTATTTTACCCCCCCTCCCCCCCAAAAAAAAAGGAAGAATAAAAACAGTAAAACATTCTAATGTCTAACTAGAAAGGGGGGCTGTCGGAATGCCAGCATTGTAGCCTGGACAGCCCCTTCACATGTAGCTCTGAAAGTATTCTTATTCATTTGTTGCCCTTTACACTTGCATGACACTTTGCAGAATCTTTCCCCGGCAATTATGTTGTTACTTTTATGCTTTTGTGTATGTTTTAATGTCCATGTCTGAAAATCTCATTTGGTATTATTTACATATTTTTATATGTTTAAATATTTATATTGTATTCATGTTTTGCACCGTGACCAGCATTTTCCGTGACATAACAGTAAGATAGTGTTGTAGTACTCAAGACCGGTGTTGGTCTCGAGACCTCGTTTTGCGGTCTTGGTCTGGTCTTGGAATTGACTTTAGTTTGACTTGGTCTTGTCTCATCTTGGCATAGAGGACTCCAGGTTTTATCTCAAGACCAGTCAAGACGCCTCAGTATTTATTACAATGGCTTAATATTAATCTTTTTGTTATCCCTGAGAACCTAACAAATGAAAAGAGTGTTGATTTGCGCACTCATTAATCTCATGCTTGTAACTTTGGATAGGTATAACGCACAGACATGATTCACATATCTTTATGTACAGTATTATATTTTTATATATATATATTACAGCATCGCGCACTAAAATATTCCAGAGTAATCCTCTGTTTAATGAGGCATATAAAAAGCACCCCTATTAATCCATAAAACATACTTCTCATTAGACCAAAAACAATTAAAGTGCATATTTGCTTCGGCAATGATCCATGCTCTACTCTTCTGGGGGAAAAAAATATTTTTAAATCTCTTTATTATAATAGCATAAATAAAGGCGTAGAGAAACGCTTAAAATGGGCAGGAGTTTTACCAGAAATTACAAAAAAATGCAGTATTCTATTTATTAGGAAGACAGTTACTAGATATTTTTGCAATATTTATTCACAAAAGTTTGTATATGTATGTTTGATGTCGAGCTCCGTCAAAACAGTTTAAATAGAACGTATCCATCGTGTAATTGGAACACCTCTCACATGTAAACACAATGACGTGCTACAGCATTGGGTTGTTGTTTGAGGCTAATATACCAACTAAAAGTTTCATTCACAAATTTTAATCATAGCGTATATAGTGAGAAAAACGATATCAATAAACATTAAGCATTGGACTTTAAAACCATCTGTTATGTTTGTGTTATTCAGTGGATCATAAACTAAACAATGCTTTTCTATTTCAATTTCTTTCAAATAAGTAAAAAAAATATAGAAAAATATAAAACAATGCATTGCTGTTTATCAGACATAGAAAAGTCCCTGATGAAACCTCTCTATTCCCACATCATAGAGACTCTAATCTCAAAATTTATATTATATTTGTAGTACCTGCAAATTTTTATATTATATAAATTTGGAAATTTCAATAGGTGCATGTAGTTTTTCTCATAAGAAGGATGATATCAAGTCTGTGTCAGCATTTACACATAAAATTATGACATATCCAAGTAACCCAGAATGTCTTGAAAACAAAATCATAAACAAATGTGGCTAACTCACGTACATACAATGTGATAAGCCTAAAGTCAAAGGCATAGAAAAACGCTCAAAAATGCATAGGGATCAAAAGGTTAACACAGTAGGGGAGACTAGCGATAGCTGTCTTTTACATTTTTTCCTGTACCTCTGAGCTCTTTTATGGAATCACATTCAATATTTGACACAAACTACCTGCATGTGTCTTCTATTACTTTTACAGGTTTTATCTCTGTATCACAAACAGAGAACGGACGGTTTAGCCTCAAACACATGGAGTGAAATGTTAAAATTTATCCCATAGTCAGGGATAGTTGTAACAAAGTCCTGGGTTAAATGGAACATTAGAAATTATGTTAAAAAAAAAAGCCAAGTTTTTCAAAGTTTGGCATGGGCGCACGTTATATTACTTTGTAAGGACCAAATGTCTCACACAATGTAATAAAAACCTGCTTTTTTGACCATTTTTCAGGTCCCACAAAGATCTGTGAATACAATCAAAAAATAAAAATGCCAAAAGTATTTTGCATGGTTACTTATGCTTAAGGTTAGGGCTGGGTAGGGGTTAAGGTCGTCATGTTGTGATTAGACTTATCAACATAGAAAGGAATTGAGAGTCCCTACAAAGATATAATTACAAACCTATGGGGTGTGTGTGTGTGTGTATTGGACGGACATGTCAGTCACGATATACATCGTACCCCCACCCCGATGGGCCACATTCTGCCCCCCCACAATGTCAGTCTCCTTCCGACTGCACTGTAGTTAGCATCTTTGGGTTTAAAAAAGCACTGCATAAATATAATGAAATGTAATGCAGTGTTACCTGAAGCAGAGCCACTGCTCCTCCGGCACAAAAAGGAGCCAGCTGAGGTGGTCGGGCACCTATGTAGGATGCCTCTGGGCTTCTCCCTAGGGAGGTGTTTGGGCACATCCAACCGGGAGAAGGCCACGGGGCAGACAAAGGACACGCTGGAGAGATTATATCTTTGGCTGGCCTGGGGATGCCTTGGTATTCCCCCGGGGGAGCTACAGGAGGTAGCTGGAGAGAGGGAGGTCTGGGCATCCCTGCTTAGGCTGCTGCCTGCGCGACCGGATGGATGGATGGATAGATTTATTATTATTATTACTACTATTATTCTTCTTCTTATAATTATTATTTATTCATTATATTATATTATATGAATTTTATACGGTAAATACTGGGTAACTACGCAACACAGCAGCACACTGGGGCAGCAGGTATACAATAAACAAAAGGACAGAAACAACACAGGACTACACAAGTACAATTTACAGGACAACACAACACACAGTGCAGTCGGCAGTAGTAAGCGTGCTGCTTTAAATGGATATTTGATTAAATAGTATTATTGCAGATACAGTATTATGACTTATACTGTATATAGACTACTGTATACATAGACTAAACTGGGCATGTGCAAAGTGGGTTATGTGATTTGTACTTTGTTGCAACTAACCCATGTTACAATCATCCCCAGTCTCCCTTACTATGATTGGGTGCAAAAAGTCCTGCTTCAAGGTTCAAATGCAACCAATAAGGTGTCTTATTTGGAAAAAATTACACATTTATACAGAAGTATTTATATTGAAATTTTAAGAAAAAATGTCCATAGTTCAAATTATACTGTGACAAAAATTTTAGACTGTACTAATAAGATGGTGCCTATGTTCCACATTTTGTAGTGTGTTGTGTTATGTATACTCAAACATTAGTCTGCTTCTGATCTTGTCTGGGCCTCGCCCTGCCTTGGTCTTGGTCTTATCTCGGCCTCACCCTGCTTTGGTCTTGGTCTTGTCTGGGCCTCGCCCTGCCTTGGTCTTGTCTGGGCCTCTCCCTGCCTTGGTATTAGTCTTGTCTGGGCCTCACCCTGCCTTGGTCTTGTCTCGACCTCACCCGGCCTTGGTCTTGGTCTTATCTCGGCCTTGCCCTGCCTTGGTCTTGGTCTTGTCTGGGCCTCGCCCTGCCTTGGTCTTGGTCTTATCTCGGCCTCGCCCTGCCTTGGTCTTGGTCTTGTCTCAGCCCCGCCCTGCCTTGGTCTTGTCTTGGCCTCGCCCTGCCCTGGTCTTGGTCTTGTCTGGGCCTCACCCTGCCTTGGTCTTGTTTCGGTCTCCATACACTCTGGTCCTCGGTTTAGGTGATCTTTGACGACATCACTACAGTAAGAGCTGTAAGAGATACATTAAAAACTTCACACTGTTCCATTCCATTTGGACTAGAGTGGTGCTGATGTATCACCCACTGCACGGCTGCACTCCGGTTCTTATCCCTGAGGTGGTTTGTTGGGTGGTGAGTGCAGCGACGTGCTGTATCTGTGTGCTCTCCTTACCTCTCCCTCTCTCTGTTTGCTATTCGAAGCCCACAAATTGATTCTTAATTTAGTCTAACATTTTGGCAATTTCTGTTCTTGTCAAAAAAAAAATGTGTCCGCTAAGCCAGAAGCTGGAATGAAGTGTGCAAATACTATGGGTTTTATGGTAGTATATTTATTCGCTCAAATCTTGGTAATAATGCATAACATGTGTGCCAATACAACTTGATCTTATTCTGCTAGACTTGGCACGTCTCCAAACTTCAACTAATTATATTAGAAATTAGATGCTCTTGTCATCTAATTCTTAATACTGTGCATTGTAAAAATCAATATGAGTATCCATAACATTAAAATCACCTCCCTGGTGAAGTTACTTCATTGCAATGGGGAATATCAAGGGTGCCATTAATTATGAGGCAAGTGAACAGTAAGTTACTGAAGTAGATGTGTTGGAAGCAGGAATGTGGGCAAGCATAAGGATCTGGGTGACTTTAACAAGAGCCAGACTGTGATGGCTAGTTGACTGGGTCACAACATCTCCAAAAGAGCAGGTCTAGGGTGTTCCTGGTATGCAGTGGTCAGTACCTACCAAAAGTGGTCCAAGGATAGTCAACCGGTGAGCCAGTTTTATTGTAGTGATGCAAAAAACAAATAAATGGAATATAAATATTTAAACATAAACCATCCAGTACTTCTATAAATTGTACAGGTTGGTGAGTGTGTGAGCAGTGCGGCTTAGATAGACGGAGCAGGTGACAGGGTTTCCCAGGGATACAGTGCTGTCATTACCGACAGCCCCCCTTTTGTACTCTTCTGTGCAATATTACTGTAAATGAACAAAACCTGCCTTTTAGCCATCTTCAGTTTGAAGGCAACACTGGCTGATCCTTCCTACCATTCATACATGCATGCCATCCTTTTTTTTTATCTAGTTTTCTTCTTTCTTCAGTTGCAGTGTGTACATTTTATAGCTGTGATCTGCCATTGAAAACTGATAATTAACAGAGTGTGCGTGTGTGTGTGTGTGTGTGTGAGAGAGAGAGAGAGATACGAGAGAGAGAGTATATTCTTCCACTGTACTGTTACACGCATCAGACTTTAGTCATTGTACTTATCTTTTATTTACCTCTTATGCACACAGTAGTGTTCCCATGTTGTATCTTTTAAAGCAAGCAACTTCCTTAGAGTAATCATTCAAGTTTTAATGATTAAGCGTAAACAAGGAAAAAATAAATAAGCAGAAGTTCTTCTTGCTATTTATTTAAAAAAACAAAAACAAAAAACATTAAAGTATGCAACAAAGCACTTTAATCTGAAACAGTAACAAGTGTGTTAGTCATGACAGAATGTACCAGGTAAAGCATATCAGGAACCCTGAGAGGTTCTGTACATGGTGACTCTGTATTGCATAGTGAGCAATACGCTCGCTGTTCTATCATAACGGTTTGATAAATGTCTCCTTTTTAGGCACAGCCTTTGGTTCTACACTACACAGTGAAGGACAAGCGCGGGAGGTAGAAGAAATGCCTGTTTTGTTTGACATTTTGTGATTGAATGCATTATCTTTTGTATATCTTGCGTTTTATATATGGTATTTTATATATTCTGTAAATATTAATACTTATTTTGCTTTTGTTTGTCTATTTATAAAATAAATTTTGTAAGTGATGAGCGGTGTTTAGTTTGTCTTTCAGTAATGATAGAAAGAAGCAGGTGACAGCTTTCAGTTGTATATGACCACCCCCACACTTAAAATAATGTGGAGAAAAAATGCTGGTAATTATTTTTTCCCCCCGAAACTTAATTTGGATCCTAGCCCTTTGTGCCAGGGGGTGTACAAACACCACCCAAAATGTGAAATTGCACACCAAAATAAACATTTATTTTATTTTTCGTACTTCATTGTTGAGGACCCCACGCAAATTTTATTTACTTTATTGTGTTGGAGTCCTTGCTCAGCCAAAGCCCATGTTCTGGCTACAACACTGCCATAGCAACGTGAACGTTCGTTTGAAAGACCGCTCGTATTGCCTCCAAATGCCACTTAAAATGCGCAGAATTAATTGCGGGTGAGGGTGGGGCATTGCCTTTACTTAAATTCCAATCGGGAACAACCGTGTAACTTCGTCAAATAAATTTAATCCTGTTCTGTTTTTCGTATTTGGCAGCATTACTAGAATACTGTATAAATCACACACACACACACACACACACACACGAAGACTTTTATAAGACGATCTGCACCTATCCCCCTATTGCATATTATAACCTACATCAGGACCTGTTTCTATGTATTTTCTCCGTGCCTATGATTCTCACCCTTCACAGGCGAGCTCATTTCTTCTACCCCCAGTGATTTGCTCTGCTACTACAGAGATACACCGTGTGTCTTTATATAACAATAAACATCTGTTTGACTTGCAACAGTTGTCCGCTGATGGGTCACGTCTCCAGTTTCATTATAACTGTCCTTTGACTGGTTAAGTGCTACAAATGGGTCGGACAATATCTTAGCGGACCACAGCCTCAGACAACAAGACTGCGACAGAGATCCTCCCTTTTCCTGCGGAATCCTATTGAGATGTATTCATTAGTATCCCCTCGCTAATCAATTGCTATTCATGGTGATTTCCAAACACATGCGCTTTAAAAGGACTCACAGATGCCTGGCGGCTTTCTGTTAAAGGAAACCGCCTTTAACAAATCAATCACGTCGACTTGCTTGTGTTAAGGACAATCATAAACCATATGGTATCCCGATGCTCGCAAGCTTTTTTACACAAGCCTGGGACCCGACCCCCCCTGCAGAACAATTGTTCTTTGAGACGCGATGAAAAGGAAATACGTGTCCACTTACCCTCAACTGGAACACAGGCCAAGGCAAGGAGTTAAAGTGACCCGTCTCTCTGAGAGATGAGCTGATTTATTTTAACGCCTAGGACACCCCCTGGCTAAAATTTACATTTTTGGCAGTTGCGTACTATACATGGGCTACAAAGGATCACTTTTCTACCAAGTCAAGCTTGAATGTTCAAGGGAAGTTTACGTGATCTCACTTGTTTGCTCACTTTTGAAAAACTTTCCTTACTGAATGGGTATAACAGCTGTCTTCTGCACAGAATACAGGCGCTACTTCTACCTGCAGAAAAACATACACGCGCGCGCGCACAGAAATGCAACAGCCATATATAAATAGGAAAATCGATGTAAGCTGTTCGGGTCCATGTTTCTTTGGCTGTCACCTATTCTTTATCAATATTTTTTTTTAATTATGATGCCTAATTTTGTTTGTTGAAATAAATTCCACCGCCTGCAATGGAACGTCTTCCTTCACAGTATAATTTTGAAAATTTCTGGAAAACAGAGTTTGTGTAGATACACCTTTATTACCCACTATATTTAATTAAAGAGAAGGCATTTGTCCCCCATTTAGTGCTAACAAGTTAAACACTCAATTTGATAGGCTACTTGAAAAAAGTTTGACTTGCCACTGCTATGTTTAGTCAGTTTGGCAGCAAGTCATCTTCTGTATTTTGCTTTCCATTTCATTCCAACAAGGCTTGTTGGACCCTCTGCAAAATCCCAAAAATGAAACGTCAAATGTCAGTTCCTTACAGTTATAAAATGCTTTTTATATTATCCCAATACAGCTTGGCGTAAAACTGAAAATACCCGCAAATCACTTTCTCGTCCATTAGATTCAATCGTCCACCTCAATCTCTTCGTCTTCTGAGAATTCCTCCATGGTTTGGGTTCTACACATTAAAGAAGGTCGAAGGACAACGCCATGGTCTCGGGAAATGGGAAACTTGCAAGGGGAGATGTCCCCTGAGTTTCCTTTGGTGTCATCAATGTCTACCATGGTAACCAGCTTCTGAAGAGTCTGCGGAGGGACTTTCTTAAGTGACTCCACGTCTGCTTTCATCTCCTCCAAGTCCCTCTTAAGCTTAGCACGTCTGTTTTGGAACCAGGTGATGACTTGTGCATTAGTAAGGCCTAGCTGTTGCGCTATCTGGTCCCTGTCTGCGGGGGACAAATATTTTTGGTACAAAAACCGCTTTTCTAACTCATAGATCTGATGATTACTGAATGCGGTCCGGGACTTCCGTAGCTTTTTTGAAGGATGTTTCTGGCCGAACGTATTCACATGTTCACGACCTTAAATGTCAAAAAGAACAAGAATTAAATAGGCCCACTTTAAAATACTTATAAAATAAATTAAACGTAGCGTAGTGCTAATAATAAATAAACCAACGAATGAATGAGTGAAACATCGCTGTCCGCTTACAGTTTAAACATTGTGACTTCAAGTGTTTGCCTGTATTTCTTCAATGTGATTCGGTTTCTGTTCATAAAACATGCGGTTCCAACAAAATAATTACCCCAAAGTCTTTATTCAAACGTACGAGATTGGATGATTTACACCTGCTTCAATGCGATCATAATGTTGTTGCTGATTTCGATAAAACGATAATAGGCCTATTTGTCGGAGCTTTCTCATTCATACCCAACTTCAAAACTGTACAATAAAAAAAGTTTTTGACGTATTACTTATCAGATTATTAGTGACATTCATTGTTAGATAATGGGCATTTACAATGTACCGATAATGTCACCATACAATCTCTGACATCATTTTGTAAATATGATCACATTATAAATATTAAGCCATTTCTTTAATTCGTTAATCTCTTTCTTTTCTTTAAAGAGCGGGGGCGGCATGGTGGTGCACTGTCGCCTCACACCTCTGGAACCCGGGTTCCAGTCGCCGCCTGGGTTCCATGTGTGCGGAGTTTGCATGTTCTCCCCGTGTGGTAGTGGGCTTTCCCCGGGTACTCCGGCTCCCCCCACAGTCCAAATACAGGCTGAGGCTAATTGGAGTTGCTAAATTGTGTGTGTGTGTGTGTGTGTGTAAGAGAGAGAGCCCTGCGATATTCTCTTTCAGAAAATGGATTGAACTATGCTAGTCCTATACATCGTTTGACTTACGACTGCTGTCTAAGGCTCTAAGGTTATCTAAGTAACAACTAAATGAAAAGCAAACCCACCCGCAATATGTAGCCTACGCATCGGTAAGTGCAACCGATGGAAAACGGGATCCGTACTGGATATTTCTATTCCCGCAGAATTTAGGAATAGGTAAGGGGATACAAATGGAAGATTAAAAGAGGACAAAAATGAATACCTTCGGCAGCTTGTATTACGCTGACCTCCAGACCTTTGAAAGTTTTGCTGGCCAGTTCCTCCAAAGCGCACAGCGGAGATGACGGGGAATTAATTCCGTTATTGGCTGCATTCAAGACAGCCGCTTTTTCCAAGGACTTGGATGGACAGAGAGCGGCTAAGGACTTCTTAATGGACGGCTTGTTTAAAATATCTTCAATGCTAAATGGAGTAAGCGGCTTGCTGGAGTTTGCGGGCGGTGGAAGCCGATCCAGGAGGCATCTCCTCTGATCGGTGCTGGGCAGCAAAAGGCGGTCTGCCGTCGCGTTGTGACCGGACGTCATCGCACTAATAAGTAGGCTATTATTATTAGTACCGAGATATTATACTATATTCAATAGCCCACGTAATAGTTCCACAATCTAAAACGCTTCTTCAAAGCCATCCTGCTTCAGCGTGGATGAAAACTTCTCAGACAGAATTGTATTCCCTTGGAAGTCTCTCAAGCCTCCTAAGGTCCTTATAAAACAGAAAGAACCGTGTGGATTTACTCCAAGAGAACAAACGGTCTCGAGGAATAAGAGAAGCATGTGGATGCTAACAAGTTAATGTTGATTGGGTGAAGGCGAGTAACACTAGAGCAATCGGTGACTGGGTTGTGGGTCTTAAAGAGCAAAGCACAACAATTAATTGAATGCAGAAATAGGAGGAGTTTCCTCAGAGACACCAAACTTTAATGACACGTACGACTTGACAGCTTCTTGCTCCCACAGCTCCAGCCCCCACTTAATGGATCCACGTGCTCTCAGCGTGTATATAAAAAGGAAGGGGCTACCATCATCACGACAGTAGTGAACTGGAAATGATTGCAGTTAATTTACAGTGGGATTTAGCTCTGTTCTTCACTCATAAAGAACAATTTGTAATTATTTTCATTCTGTGCTTGTAGCCAGCTTTTATAGTAACATAATGGCAACACTGCTGCCAGTTGTTTACTGTTTCTTACAAGATTAATTGTTTACTGTTTCTTTTACAGTGAATGGTCCCATTTGCTATTCCCTTACAGGTATGTGCATTTGAAAACATACAGGTGAAGACTAATCAAATTCTTTTGAGCGCCATGCAACATTTATTTTGTTATAATGCTCAATCGTTTATACTGATATATACATTTAGGATGTGAAAACCTGAGATAATAGTTTCATGATGTCGATGAAGACGATTACAACAATTAAGTACTCGCAATTAAGCAGATTGCAGAAAATTCCTTTAACTTTTTGTATTTTTTGCGAGCAAAGGCGTTGTTTTAAAAAAAATTTTCAGCATACGTAAAAAAACATCTAACCGTTGAGCGTATATTATCTTCTAGGGTGCGTTTTAAAAGCTGGAATCTTTGTTTAAACTGAGGTCAGTAAGTAAATTACCTCCCAGTCTTTCCCAACGGATCATAAGACCACTGCGATGCAATCTGGAAAGGATTATGGGATAAAAAAAAATATATATATATATGTCTTTATATGGGTTAATGTTATGTTGAAGTGTTGGAATAAGGGTTGCTCTTTTACCTAAGTAACCCTACGCATTTAGCATCAATGCATACGCATATAATCAGTTATAGGAGAAAGATATTTCAGATACAACGCGGGTTTTGAAGGATTCGTTTATTAAAATGCTTATTAAAAGACATTCGGAATAATTAATTAATAAAAGTATATTTATATAAAATATACGCAAATAATGCAATTCTGTAATAAATGTGTGAAACGGAGAGACCATGAGGAACTGGTGCTTGAAGGACATGTTAATGGTGCCAATTTCAAATTTCTCATAAAAATTGACTATAAACAGTATAGCCAGAAGAAAGTTTTATCATTTTTATTTTTCATGCAATTAGAACAATGAAAAATATTTCTATTGATTGATAACACTATAAAATATATTACGAATGAATACATTCTGCTGTATAGGCCTATCCCGCACTTTCAGATTGTAAAACTTTGTTAGCCATACTCACTAAAACTAATATGTAACATTTAAATTGTATGTTAATGCTCTGTTAAAGTTGCAAATCCCGATCTTACACCATCAGAGCCTCCTTGAAGTATCGCAGCTTTGGCCGCAGCGTTTGACTTTCAACGGAGACGAAAAGTAATAACATCCGAAAACGATAGATGTTCTGCCGCCCTAGGAGAGATTCTGCTGAACCCATTCCCTCAAGCAGCAGAAAACAAATTAACAAATGCTGTCAATTACTATATATATAAATTATATATATAGTAATTATTATAATATATATATAGGCATTGACACATATATGCATACCTTTGTTTTTCATTTCATATTGTTTGTTTGTTTGCCTAGGCTACTGAATTGGGTGTGGCTCGCTATGGTGCTGAGTGGTGGCTCTGAGGTTAGGGATCTGTGCCGGCAATCGGAAGGTTGCGGTTTAAATCCCGTGAATGCCGTTGTTGTTATCCTACTCCACTGTGCCCTTGAGCCCTGCAATTGCTTCGTCCTGTGTATTACGTTAATTTACACCCAACCCTGCAAGCAGGTCCTGCAACTTATAGGGAACATTTGGGGGTTGGTGGCAGGATTGGTACGAGTACTCCAAGCCCTGGAAAGAAAAAAACTCACACTGTTCCATTGGACTAGAGTGTTGCTGAGGTAGCCTATCGGCCGCTGCATGGCTGCACTCAGGTTCTCATTCCTGAGGTGGCAGGTAGAGCGACAGACTCTAATCAGCGCGTGCTGCTTACCTCCTTACCTCGACCGTGCAGCGTACCAAGGATTCGCAAATAAAACAACGGGCATTCTTCAGCAGGGCATTAACACCATATGTTACAATGCATTTTGTAAGAATGCCGCATTGTGTGTGTGTAATAACTTGACAGAATGTAACACATTTTCATCACATAATGCGATGTTATTGCATAATGTGTTGTCACACACCATGTAACAACACATTACGTAATAACACCGCATTATGTAATAACTCGTCAAAATGTTACAAATTTATACGCCATTACGTGATGTATTATTTAAATTATTGTAAATTATTATTTTACATAAAATTCCAAAGACAACTGTAGCTGAAACTTTATGCCAGCAGGTGGTATAATGGTTAGAAAAAGTACTAAGATGTTACCAATTACAGTGCCAAATATTACCATACAGTACAAGGAAAGTTAAAACAGCATTAAAAACAGATGAAATTTCAAACAGTATACAATAAAAAACAAATATATTGATGACCGCAGAAATTAATGTTATAGGCAAAAGGCAAAAATCGCCGATGAACATTTATTCGGATATCTGGTACTTAATAATCTAAACGATTCATAATAATCTTATCACTTACTCTAAAATACGCATATGGTAGGCTACAACATTCTCAATCTTGACATGAAATCGGTACGTCTACATTATTTTTGTTTTCTTTTGGTTTCAATCGGTATAGCAATGCATTTTCTGTATGACTCGAATTAGACATTTTTAAATGTATTAGGCCTACGCCTAAAGCACTTAGGAATAAAGTTTATATTGTATTTTTATTGATATAGAGAAATTTGTTATTAACAATACTGGACATAACATAGCACTCAGACCTGAACACGCTATTACTAAGTTCCAATGTAATACTAAACCTTTGAGTTAGATGGCAAATCTTATGATTTTTCTTCGTAAATTCCACATACATAAGCATTTTCTTATTGACTCATTGTGTGTGCGTGTGTGTATAAATATATAATTTATAGCTTTTAAAATTCAATTTAATTGAGCTTTTGTTTATATGTTTGAAATCTGGAATCTGTGCAAGATATCAACAGCTCAATGTCTATAATTATGATGCTCATTAAAAAAAAAAATAGATTTCACATTTAATTAATCCATTTACACTTTTTTGCAGTGGTGCTGATCTATTTTATATCATTTACCATTTTGCACAGTATTTATCATAATCTAAATTTATGATTAAATTTTTTCTCTGACCTATTCTTACCTTATCTATATCAAATAACCACACTCAGAGTGCCCCCAGTTTAAAAAAAACAGCCCTGTGAGCAAAATCTTGTATAACCCAGGACAGCATAAAATCCTAAAAGCTCTCCTCTAGCTCTTGCCTCTTGCCCTGTATCCTGGTGGGCAGTCCTTGTAGCGAGACTCGTAGCATTGTAGGCATTTGGTGGTGATGTTGGCCTTCCTGTATTCATCCCTGTATTTGCTTGAAAAGATGTTCCAGGTGCCGACACCTTTTGAAATGCAAAATTAAAAGAGAAGGTTTTAGCTAAACAAAATAAAGACCAGATGAGTGAAAAACTAATTTCTGTAATACTTGTCCTGCATCTTCCATATTAAAATTAATTCTCTCTATATTTCACTAAAAGAACAAAGGTAGCACATACTGTCTATAGCCAGGCAAAGTCGACTTCTCGTCTAAATGCATCATTCCCAATAACATCTCATAATTTTCAGAACAGAAGAGAGGGTTTGGTATGCATTCTCCCCATCGCTTAGAATTACCTCATTCAGTATTTTTGTAAGAATTTCTGGAGGTACCTAAAAATAGAACATAAGAATACTTACATTTTACAAAATTCAGTATACAAACATCTCATAGATGATTTTAACTGGACAATGTTAGTTTAACAAACCTGGCACACTGTAGTTTCAACTTCATGTCCTGCACCTGGAATGAGATTCAGGACAGATATTATCAGTGAGAATAAGTTATTGTAACAGCACAGTGAGAACAAGTGCATTTAGAAATTGTTCTGAGTCTTAATAATTACGTAAAGATTTTTTAAAAAACATTGTATGTGCATGGCTTTTTAAAATCACTTTTAACAGTTTCACTGAAGTTCTTCTCAATGTGTTTTTTGGATAGGCCATTTCCCTCTTATGTGTTCTTGCATTAAAACACCACAAATAAAAAAGATTAATATTGTTAAAGTACAAACCAACATAGTAACAAGCATGAAAAAGTAAACGTTTCCAAAGACAAGTTGTCTAGCAGAAGAGCAGACGACCATCTTCAGATCATGGGCATGTCATCCTGAGAATGAAATAAAGAACTAAATGAACAATAATTAACAATGGTATAAATAAGCATAAACAAATACACAATAATTTAAACAAAATAACAAAAAACGACTTACTTGTTCAAAATCAAACTGCAGCCTCAAAGCAATACTTAGGGTATACTATCAGAGTATGCAGAGGGACATTTTCAAAGAAAATGTTAAAATGAATTCAACATCTGAAATTGTTACAATAATAACAGTCAGTCATCACAATATGAACTTACCATCAATATGCAGAGTTCACAGTCAATGTCTCTCATTTGTTCTGGGATTTGCTGTTAGATTCGGAAGAATACATCTTAATAAAAATGGCTTATCTTTCCTATCTGATAATCTGAATGAAAATCATAAAGAACAAACGAATGAAAGAATAAAATGAATGAAAGAATAAAATACTTTACTTCAAACAAAGCCACAGTTCTTTCAGTCCATTCATCATTATGAGTATTATTTTCCATTTTCCTATACAGACAAAA